AATTTACCTTGGGTAATAACCAGGATCTGGTTATCACATATTTGATTTTGAAAAAGCAATTATTTTTTATTAGTAAATATAATATAAATTTATAGACATCATAAAAATTTGACAAAAATATATCAATATTAATATCGAATTAACTATTTACAATTCCTCATTTTTGTGTAATTTTTTAATTTAATTTAGATACAACAACGAAATAATTTATATTTGGTTTAATAATATAATTTTCTTATAAAGATAATAAATATTTATATTGTTGAACTCGATTAATAATTCTAATTATATTTTAGATTTTTTATATTTTAAAATAAGATGTTTATCATATATTTGATTATGTTTATCCACAGTTAGTTATAAGAATTCAAACATCCAGCTTTAATAAGTTGTACTTATGCATAATTTACTTGTAATCTTGAATTTTAAGTAATATGTATCAATATACAGTATTTTATGCATAAAAATGATTTTTAAAAGTTTTTGTTAAATGTTTTATAATATAGTATAGATAGATGGTATTTTCTTTTATATTTATATTTTCACCCTTAAGTTAAATCGGTGCAACATCAAGCACCAGTTTAACATGGGGCGGTGATTTAGTAGCAGTGGGTGGCAAGATAGCTTCGAATTACTGTTATCAGTTAGAATAATTTATGATTAGCTTAGTTGGGCCCTCCCGGAATTCCTTCCAGAGCCTATTGAATAATTTTTATGGATTTTGTCTCATTTCCGCACTAATTCAAGATATGCTTAGAGGTCGAGTAAGCGCTTACCAAGTCACATTACTTTATCGGATGAATTTGATAAGGACCAATAATCTTACTCGATAAGAGAGAGACAAGGATCAAGAGTCTTACCCGGTAAGTGAGGACGACGACTCTTACCATGGTAAGCGCTAACTGGGTAAATTACTGCATAAGATGTCGTTTTGGTGGACTAAAATCTTACCTATAAAGTAAATGATAGTTTAAATTTTATCCGTAAGTGCTTACATGATAAATGTTTGGTAAACGGCCCTTTAGTGTTTTTAAAAATATAATAACTAGTTACATTACAAAATGCGGTTAATACAATTATGAGGTGTTTGGGATTGCTTATTTGAAACAACTTATTATTTTCTACAAAAGCCTTTGTCAACTTATTATAAGTTAGAGTGGTTTAACTTCTTCAAAAAAAAAATATTACCGGTTTGGCACCGGTATAAGATGTTTATCCAAACACTCAAAAGTGCTTATTACCGGTGTCACACTGGTATAAGTCAATAAGTTATTTTTATAAGCAATCCCAAACACCCCTTAGAACCATACTTGGAAGCGATGTTTATTCATGAGGATCTTTTTTCTAAATCCACTAGTATTCTTATTAGAAAAGTTTATTTTATTAAAGAGTAATTTACGTTATAAAAAACTGTAAATATAAAAAAAATATGAATTATTGAATATGATATTGATATCTGGCATAACGGAATAAGGAAAGCAGTAAAACAGACAATTTCACATGAAAACTAAAATTTTGTTTATCTGGTATGTCAATAAAATTTTGTTTGTCTGGTATGTCAAAAATAAAATGTTTTATTCATCTATTTTTGAAAAAACCATACTATTGACACATAGCAAGCCCTCCCTCCACGTAAACTAGGCGAATATGTGGCCCTAGAGATGCATAAAGCCTAGACTCTTTTTTTTTTCAACCTGAATATCCAACCTGCTATGCGAGCCGACTAATCCCAGGATAACCACCTGCTTTGCAGATAGCCCGGAATCACCGCATTTGAACCTCCGTGACCACAAGAAGAAAGCCTAGACTTTTTCAGTCTGGGTCGGGTGGGACTACACCGGGTTTTGGGTGTAAAAATAGGTTTGATCAAGTTTTTTCGGGTCCTAGGTTTTTTGGAAGAATAATTGGGCTCTTAGGCACAACGTGGTCTAGGCTTTGGGCTTGATATGTCCCAGTTTTTTGGGCCTTTTGTACATCTCTATGTGGCTCATGTGTGAAAATACCTGTTTAAAAAAAAAAACGAACATTAGTCTACCTGGTACGACACTATGATTGGGATATAACAGGTTTGACGTACACAAAATAATTAAATTGTAATATTCGGTTTTAGTTTCCAGTTGATCAGGTGCTAATAATTTGTTAATGAAAGTTAGAGATTAGTGTTTGGCATTTAAGGGTTGGAGAGGTATCGATCAAGGGATTGCTTCTCTACATTTATGTTGAGTAATATATATATATATATATATATGTGTGTGTGTGTGTGTGTTTATGGAGATGGATTATATAATCGAGGAAATTGGTGATGCACTTGTTATTTATAGCAAATGCATTTGCATGGAGAAAGGTTTATTGATTTTGTTACATATTCATTTCTCCTTCAAAAAAAAAAAAAACTGGGKGATCAAAATACAAAAGCAGATTCTCAAATTCAAAAGCAAAAGTCGTCCAACGGGCCAGGATAAAGGCATGGGGAAAATGTAAAGACCTGTTATTTAGAAAAATATGCTGTAAACAATAAAGTTTTTGTTAATCCATATTTTCTCTTCTTATGCAAACATGATATTTAGAATGTTGTAATACTTTGGTTTAAGCAGTATGGTAATGTATGATGATGTCGAAATATTTATCAAACTGTCGCATTTCAATTTCGTCATGCATCAAATTATACGAAGAATTAAACTGATAATTATTTTATGTTGTTTAAAATTTTCATTCGGCATTGAGGATATATTCTTTTTGTTTGTTTGCCTCTTAATAGTTCCATTAAGAGGCAACATCTGAACCGTTGAGAGGTGAATTTTGTTTGGGGAAAAAAATATGTCTCTTAATGGTTCTAAAACCTTTTGAAATCTGAATGATTTTGTATCATCGGCCTCCATTAACCATTAAGAGCCCTAATTTCATTGTAAACAATTTCCAAACAATTATATTTCATTTTGCACTGTATCATGAGAAGCTTCTTAATCATTCTGACCACTTAATGATTCTACACAAAACCATTCAGCAACTGTCAAACAGCCTCTTATTTTTCATTTGATAATCAATCTAGAACAAATCTCCTAATTATATAAGTCTACGAGATCTGTGAAGAAAAAGGTACAGAAGACTACACCGATTACGTAGATCAGATATGTTTAGGAAAAATAAGACATATCACCTTAAGAAAGTTGTTGAACATTTCTAACAGATACTCTAATAATTTTTTTTAAATAGATTATTAAAAATAATAATCTTTATAAAAATTTCATTCAGATATAACAGTTGCCTTATTTTAGACTAGAAGGGTATTCGTGCAATGCAGCGAGATAAATCTATATTTTAATGTTTAGTTTTTATTTTGTCTCTATTGATATAATATGATTTTATGTGATTTTGATAAAACGATAATGTTTTTATTTTTGAATGAAATATAAATTTGAAAATAGCATAAAATTTTGAAAAAAATAAATCGATATTTAGTATCAAATTAACTATTTAATAATTCTCTTTTTTTTTGTCTAAAATTTTATTATAAGTTAATTTAGATTTAATAACAAAGTAATTTATTTTTGGTTTAATAATATAATTTTTTATAAAGATAATAATTAAACGTTCCGTTATAACTCAATAATTTTCTTAATTATATTTTAGATTTTGTATATTTAAAATGGATGTTTAACATGTATTTGATTATGTTTATCTGCAGTTAGTTACATGAATTTAAAAATGAAGTTTTAATAAGTTGTACTTATGTAAATTTTCTTGTAATCTTGAATTGTAAGTAGTATGCATGAATAAACAGTATTTTCATGTATAAAAATGATTTTTAAAAGTTTTTGTCAAATGATTTATAATATAGTATAGAGATTTTAACACCAGTTATATTACTAACATATTATATAAATTTTTGGTCTCCATACATGATTTTAAAATTATTATAAATGCCAACACATTTAACTTTTATTAGTGGAAACAATTAAAATAATATCTCTTCACACGTTAATATCGGACATTGTTATATGCACCTATTTTATATCAGAATCAGGTCAAATCATACATTAAAAATGTAAAAAGTGAGTCACGATATTAATATCAAATTAACTATTTAATATGCACCTACATTTTTTTATCAGGTTCTGATGGCACTAAGAAATGTGGTTATTTGGACCATTATGGTTGATGGGCATGCGAGTAACGGGAATATGAAGGTCGAAATAAATCTTTAAGGCTATGCCAAAACGGAGTTTCTTTGTTTATTCGTCAATGATTTATGGGTATTTCAAGAACGGTGATGTAGAACACGACAAAAGCTATATTCGACACGATTAACGTTAGGAATTTAGTGAATTGGAACTCTTTGATTTCTCATTTCTGGGTATTGCAATAACAGTCCTTGTGAATAAGCTCTAGGAAAGGCAAATGAAACCTATGTCAATACAGGGAAAAACGAAGATTATTGGAACCCACCAACGAACTCAGCTGTCCAACTAGCTGACAGAGTTCTTCCAATAATGTATACCCAGCATTATAGTCCTAAATGACCGCTCAGTGATAAAGGAGGTAAGGGTGCAGAGACAACCACGAGGTCAAAGAAGAATCAAATGTGTGGTCGTTTATCAGGTGCTCAATGGGTAAGAGCTTACCAACAAGGTTACCACATACACTTACCGTATCGGTTAACATTTTCGGCTATCAAAATGGATTGTTCGTAAGTGTTTCTTACTAGGTAAGAGCTTTCTCCCCAGTTTACTAGTAAGATTCTATGTTCTTGCTATATCTCTTATTGGGTAAGATTCCCGGTACTTATCATGCTCACCGGTAAGGTTATAGATAGTAGGTAAGCGCTGCGCTTACCCAACAAGTGTTTCGTAAAGGGCCCCTTAATCAATTTGTTTTGAACGGGTTTAGTCTATATGTATGCAAAACGTGGTGATATGAAGAATGCAAGATTAATATTTGACGACATGATGGAAAAGACTGATGTTTGCTGGAACGCTATAATCTCGTGATTCCATCAACGACCATTGTAATTAATAAAGCTTCTGAGTTCTTTGATAGAATGGTGAAATATAGTGTGGATCGAAATGATCGTTATGTCGTAAATTACAGCGTGATTCACCCTCAATAACACCTAATTTCTGGTGTTAATAATAATGTTGAACGTAATCTTACTGAATAACGGATAACATAACAACCTTTGGCAGTAGTTTTCAATTCTTAAAACTTTATACAAGTGCAAAGCAACAACTATACTGTCGACGAACCGATTAAAATAAATCAAAAATAATATAGATTTATTGCATTATAGAACTTCCCAAATGTTCATGCTACAACAACAAAGAGAATGCAATGACTTAGGGGCCGTTTACCAAATGCTTACCTGAGTAAGCGCTTACCCAGTCACATTACCTTACCAGATGAATTTGACAAGGACCAAGAATCTTACCCGGTAAGAGCAAAGGCAAGGACCGTGAGTCTTACCCGGTAAGTGATGACGACGACTCTTACCACGGTTAACGCTTACCGGATAAGTCATTACATACAATGTCGTTTTGGTGGACTCAAATCTTACTCAGTAAGTAAACAATAATATTGATTTTTACCGATAAGCACTTACCGGGTAAGTGTTTAGGTAAACAGCCCCGTAATAGTTAAACAAACAACAATTTATCTAGACAGAATAATGCTTAGAGATAACTTAATAGTTAAAAAATCAAACAACCCGTTAGTTATCAAAATGAAATCGTATGCAACAACGTTTACCCGATAAGCGCGTAATGGTAAGATGCATCACTCTCACTTACCTAGTAAGATTTTCAGTTCTTGCCGTGCTAATCCGCTAAACACTTACCAGGAAAGTGTTTGATAACCCACCACATATAAAATTTGTCTTTATCCCCTTGATTTTTGTTCTCTCTCGGTTTGGTGGAAAGACCCATTTATATAATGCCAAACATGAGATAATAAGACACCGTTTACCAAACGCTTATCTGATAAAAAATCTAGTCATCAAAAGGATATTGTAGATAATAAGTTTATTCAGTAAGCGTTATTGGGATAAGAGTCACCATTTTCATTTACCAGATAAGATTGACTGATAAAAGACATCTTGCTAGAGATTAGGGGTTGTTTGTTTATCTCTTAGATGGTGTTTGTTTGAAAAAAAGCTCTTATTTTACCACTTATGTATGATTCAGTCAGATATAAGGCGATTCAAACCATTTGTTTTTTTTTTCTTTCAGAGTCACTTATCCCTTATTTTCCTCTTAAAAATTAAGTGATAGCCTAGCCACTTATTTTCATCTTAATCCTGAAGACTATCTAGAGAACCTATTTATACTTCATCATCCGATCGACTGCACCCTCTCAATCGAGCTACTTCACCCTCCTCACCGTCTCAATCGATCGACTTAACCCTCCATCGCCTCTGGTGGCTTCAAATAAACCCAAATCATATCCAAACCAAGAGGGTTTTCTTCCCTGTGGGTTTTCGCCACTGTGTGTTTTTGTTCCTGTGCAAACCAGTAGTTGTGCACCTTTATCATCATGAATCAAGGTATTTTCGTCCCTGTAGTTTTCATCGTGATGGAGATTTGCTTCGATTTTAGAGGTGGATTTGGGCGTTGGATTTTAGAGAAGAAGTGGTGGTAGACGGTGGTGGGATGAGGGTGGAGATTGAGGATGGAAGGCTTGAATTGGAGGAGAATGAATAATTAAAGGAATATTGGGAACACAAACAGAAGTGAAATCAGAAATTATACATATTCATATATTTTGTTGGTTACAAAAGCAAACTATTGATTCAGATTTCAGACGTTTGTTAGTTTAGAAAAACAAACAGTTTGATTGATTCATATTTCAGACTTCAGCACCACCTCTTAAAAATCAAAAGTGAAATAAAACTTCAGACTTCAACATCTCTTAAAAAACAAACGCCATCTTAATAGTTTCATTAAAAGACAACATCTGAATTGTTAAGATATGAATTTTGTTTGACAATTTTTTTTTTCTCTTAATGATTCTAAAACTCTCTAAATAATTTTGTATTTTGTGCCTTCCTTAATCATTCAGCATCCTAATTTTATTGTAAACAATTATACTTCATTTACATTATATCATAAAAATCTTTTAATCATTTTTACCACTTAATCATTATTTAATAAACGAATCCTAACTTTTTGGACCGAAATGAAACTAAACCCTAAATACTCGATCGTTAATATTGGAATTTGGAAGGCTAGATTCGTCTCATGGGTCATCCATTTATATTCATTCCTCTGCCCTAGCCTCTCTTTCGAGTTTTCATTTATTTGCAATATGCCGTTGCAACACGCAGTCGCAGTCTAGGGTTAATAAACATAAACCCTTCGGTGAAGCTCTCAAATCTGGCTAGGGTTTAGTTATCCAGTTGTTATAGCAAAGCTAGTTTGAGATGGGTGTGCCGGCGTTTTATCGGTGGTTAGCTGAAAAGTATCCAATGGTGGTGGTCGATGTTGTGGAGGAAGAACCCGTGGAAATCAACGGCGTTAAAATCCCGGTCGACACAAGTAAACCTAACCCTAATAAGATTGAGTATGATAACTTGTATCTCGATATGAACGGGATTATTCATCCGTGTTTCCACCCCGAAGACCGGGTAACCATTTTCAAACGAATTTATGTTTGTTGATTATGTTGTTATTGTGGTTATTGCATTTAATTTTGTATCTGTTTCAATTGTTGACAACTTTCTTGACCCAAATACTGGATTCAAGGTTGATATGAATTCACTTCACTAGTGCTGAAAAGGGACATTTATATGTTTTAGTATGGCATGAACATGAGACCATGTTAACCTTGGCTGACTTGAATATTTCAATCAGCTGTTGATATTGCCATCATTTTTTTTGTAAGTAATGTCAGTAGTGGACCATTTTTTGTAAATGCAGGTAAGTTGGAGCAAGTTATGTTTCCGTTTTTAAATTTTTTACCTGGGTGTGAATGGATTTGGATTAGGGTCATTGAAAGTTTGAACGAAGGAACAAGTTAATCGATCCTGTCAGTATTTTTGCTACTTGTTGCTTTAACTTGACGAATACATTGATATAGTGCAAGAGTAGTTACTTTTTGTGATCGGAAAAAGAAAGTTAGAGAAATGAAGAAGATATGCACTCAGGCGAACAGCATGTTACTATGTTAGTACCATCAACCTTGTGAGGATTATCTGATGAAAGGGTGTTCAGGCAATCAGCCTGAAACCTTACTTTAGAGGATGTGATTTAGCCCTGTGTTTGAAGAAAGAGTTACAAATGCACTGCTAGGACCTGATGAGGATCCTGACAGATTAACTATTACACCAAAACACAGACGAGGATGCTGACAGATTAACTATTTAACTGAGATGGGGTTAGTGGTCTGGTACATATCAAATGTAATGATGATATTGGGTTGACGGGGCTTATGCAAGTGGTACTCTCTTAAAATATTCCATTTATGGGCTTGGCTTTGGTTGTGAATTTATTTAGTGTCTTATGTTCTGTTTAATGCCTGCTTGGTACACTAAATAGGTCTAGGTGTTAACCACAAGGGTGGTGCCTGATTGGTTTGAGCTTGACTCCAAAGGTCAAAAGTACCAGGAGGTCCCAGGTTCAAATCCAAGGAGGAATAAAAATCCCCTTGTGGCCACGAGGTTCAAATGCGGTGACTCCGGGCTATCTGCAAAGCAGGTGGTTGCCCTTGGATTAGTCGGCTGCATAGCGGGTTGGATATCCATGTTAATCAAAAATAAATAAATTGGTCTAGGTGTTATTGTTGTAAATATTTACCTTTTATTTTGTTATAGCTTGGTACCAAACATTTAATTGAATCAAGCCTACAAGATACTCGTAGATCCTCTTTAAGTTTGAGTAAGCTAGCTCTAAAAAGGTAGTCCAAAGTGGTCCAAGTTCTCTATTATTTTAGCATTATGGTTTTACCATATTGAGAGAGGGATAATGTTGGGATGTGTCTGCCATATTAAGTTCATAGGAAGCCTCATAGGTGGTCATCAAGGCCTATTCCTTTCCAAATATCTTAGGTAATGCCATAATGATGACTAAAGTATAGCCAGAAAGGAGATGAATGAGTGGTATTGCTTGAAATAACAGGTTGGGAATTTACAATTACAAGGAGAATATTATTTTTGCTAAGAATAGAATTAGTGATGTATTACTCGATATGATCAACACCAGAGCTTGCAGGGTGGGTGGTGTATCTTGACCCTTGGGTGACAAGATTATACAAACTTTTAGCAAGCAGGGATAACCTACTATAGTGATATTTGAGGTATTTTTCTTCTATAAAGTTCCTTAGCTTACATATAGAGAAATAGAAGAAGCATTAGTAAATTTTTTCCAGATGTTTAATGCGTCGAGTGACAAAATTTAACATACATCTTTACGTTATTGGCTTTTAAACCAAACCAAACGGACCTAATAAATCCTATTTGAACGAAGTGTCTTTGGGGATGGGGGTGAAAATGTGGGATGTACACATACCTGATCTCTGTGAGGAAAATTATTTTTTCCGTAAAGACCCGCGGCTTGTGCAAGAGTCTGAGCAAAAAGATAGTATAAAGATTAGCATATGGTGAATGCAACACGAGGAAGGTAATTAAGAACAAGTACTAAGAGGTACATTGATCACATACAATAGGTGAGGTAAGGCAAGGCAATACCACATAAAACAAATACGTCATAAACACATCTCTAGCTTGAACTGCCAGCCCTCCTTTACCCCCTAAAGCGGTTAACATGGTTGATTGCATAAATCGTGTTAAAAAATTAGGTTCACAAATTAAATAGAAATATATATATATATATACACACACACACAAAGGATCGTGTGAGAAAAAGAGTTAAGGTGAGAAGCGTAAGAAGGGATCTGGACCCTTGATCACTTTTAATCTCACACCCACCCATAAATCGTGTTAAAAATTAGGTTCACAAATTAAATAGAAATATATATACATACACACACACACAAAAATGATCGTGTGAGAAAAAGAGTTAAGGTGAGAAGCGTAAGAAGGGATCTGGACCCTTGATCACTTTTAATCTCACACCCACCCATGAATTGCGTTTCTCAAGAGAATTGATCCAATGCATCTCGGTGCATATCATTAATGTCGATCTTCAATTAGGATTGATCCAAGGGTCGTCCATATCCCTTCTTACGCTTCTCACCATAATTTCCCTTCTCACTGGAACCCAACCCTTTAAATATGTATATATAACTTAATATATATTATGGCTAATGCATATTAAGTCAAACAATCTAAAGTTTCAAACCACACAAGATGACAAGATAAATTCAAAGTCAAGGACTAGAGTCGAGCATATATGGATTCACAATTCAGGTTTGTGGATTGAAGTCGAGTGGATATGGAGTCGAGGATTGGAATGGATATGGATTGAAGTCGAGGATTGGAGTTGAGTGGCTGGAGCTTGAAAGGCAGGGACAATTCAGTCATGGATTCATGATTCAATCGATGAAACTTGAAAGCCAAGGACGATCTAAAACTCTAAAAAGTCTAAGGGGTTGTTTATCAAACACTTACCCAGTAAGTGCTTACCGGTAAAATTTAACATTATTATGTACTTACCGGGTAAGATTTTAGTCCACCAAAACAACATACTATACAACAAGTTACCCGGTAAGCGCTTACCGTGGTAAGAGTCGCCGTCCTCACTTACCTGGGGTAAGACTCTTGATCCTTGTCTCGCTCTTACCGGGTAAGATTCTTGGTCCTTACTATATTCATCCGGTGGGGTAATATTACTGTTTAAGCGCTTACTCGGGTAAGCGTTTGGTAAACAACCCCTAAGTGGCCCAAGAATATTAAAGTAAAAGTAAAAGAAGGCCCTATAAAACATTAAAACAAGGGCAACTTGCACAAAAATGTACTTTGTTCTGATTTCTATTTTGGGTAACGTACTTTCAGAACCTTCATATTAGTACCTGAGATGTAGAATCTCAAACATTTAAGTACCTAAGTAACCAGTTTAACTGGTTACCATGCTGACGTGACAAATGACATGTCATACAACTCACTATTATTTGTTGACGTGGATATTGACATGGGTTTTTTAAATAAAATTAGTCTTAAAATATGTTTTTAATTCTTTGTTAGAGTTTTCATTAAAAAACAAATCAATAACTCTTTCAAACCCTAATCTATATTCCACACTTCCACTTCCTTTCATCTTCTCAATCCCTAGCATCCCCTTCCCCGTCATCCTCTTCATCTGCTTATTCAACTGGTGGTGCATCACTTGATTAACTCAGGCTACAAGATTGTGAGGCTCGTTGTCCCTTCTCCGTTCCCCAGATATGAGTCTCTTTTACCTTTCCCGTTCCCTAACCCCACAGACCTGGAATTCTAAACGAACCATATGTGAGTTGGGATCATGATATACGGTGGTGTTGAGGGATTATATACAAGCAGTAGACATGATGAGACCCGCTTATAGAAAATTAAAAACCCGAACAAAAAACCGTAATTTTGATGTTGACGAAAAAGATGAAGATTTTGATGTTGACAATGAAGATGAAGATGCTAATTAATTCCAGAAATGATAATTCAACATCTTTAAATCTGGGTTATAGTATGAATATGTGTTATCGTTTGAAGCTGGGAAGATGAAGAGCCAGAAGAGGGTGATGGGCGAGACGTTGAGGCGGGGAAGGAGGAAGAGCATAATGGATTAGGGTTTGAAAAAGAGTTGCACTTTATTTATTAATTAGTTTTTCTTAATAAAAATTCTAATGAAAATATATGTTTTACAAAGAAATTTATATATTAAATCCACGTCAACAAATAATAGTGAGTTGTATGACATGTCATTTGTCACGTCAGGTACTTAAATGTTTGAGATTCTACATTTAAGTACCAATATGAAGGTTTTAAAAGTACGTTACCCAAAATAGGAATTAGGACAAAGTACATTACATTTTCATGCAATTTGCCCTTAAACAAAGCCCAAATATTCTAAAAACCTAAATCCCCCCAACACTGAAATGGCCCAAGAATAGGTACGGTATATCGGACTGCTATTATGATACAAAATCGCGGTGCAATAGCAGTGAATAGCGCCGCTAATTGCGGCACCGCTATAAACCACCACTATTTTAGAACTGCAATTCATCTTAACTGCAACCCGCGATTGCACCGCTATTGACTGCATAGTTTACCCCTTCCTAAACTGTCCAACTCCCTTCTTACTGACTATGCTGGCTATAGGTCTCCATTTCTAGTCTGCTACCCTAATCCTCCGTCTCCAAGTTCTCCTAGCAGAGGTCATGTCCCCAGAAATATGTAGAGCCGCCATGTCCCATCAACCCCATTGCTCATCTCACTTGACATTATTAGGGGTATAACACTCTTGCAACATATAATACCGATGTCTGAAGACAGCTGAACAACTTTTGCATAGCATAAAGTACTTGTAGTCTGAAATCAGGAAATAAGAAGCTGAAACATCGTTCGAGCCTAAATATTATATAGATGGCCTGCTCAAATGATCTTATGACAAACCTATGCCGAAATGCTCTTACAAGCTCTTTGCTCTATGATGCTTTATATTATTCATACATGATTGGACCTTACTAGACATGTATGGACTTCCATATTGTTCTTGCTGCGATGTTCATAGTCTTATGATTGATTACATCTATCTTTACTTTTTGCCCATGTATACAGCCTTCTCCAACCTCTTTCAGTGAGGTGTTTCAATGCGTGTTTGACTATATTGATCGGCTTTTTGGCATGGTGCGACCACGTAAACTGCTCTACATGGCTATTGGTAATTATTTAGGGTGATTCTTTTGTGTCACTTGTGAATTAGAATTTTCTGCTTACCTTTCGATATGTGTTAGATGGCGTTGCTCCAAGAGCAAAAATGAATCAGCAACGATCTAGGCGTTTCCGAGCAGCCAAAGATGCATCTGAAGCGGTATGTTTTTTTCTTATATCCCTGGTGCATATTAACTTCAGAGTGCACTTGGAATGAATGTTGTGACATTTGCTTTCTAGGAAGCCGAAGAAGAAAGGCTGAGGGAAGAGTTTGCGAAGGAAGGCAGAAAGCTTCCTCCAAAGCCGGATTCACAAACTTTTGATTCTAATGTCATCACCCCAGGAACTGAATTCATGGCGGTCTTGTCAATTGCTCTACAGTACTATCTCCACCAAAGATTAAACAATGACCCTGGATGGAAATCAATAAAGGTATTGTTGATCTTAAGGTTTATTATATGTGCTACATGTTCTAGCTTTTGATTTATTATATAAATATGTACAATGTGCATTGTTCTATAAGTAGTCATTGTCTTTGTGATTTGTATGCAGGTTATCCTTTCTGATGCAAATGTTCCTGGGGAAGGAGAACATAAGATTATGTCATATATTCGTCTTCAGAGGAATCGACCTAGTTTTGACCCAAACACTCGTCATTGCTTATATGGCTTGGTATCGTCTTTTTGTAACTAATTTGTATTATTGTACAAGTCACTTTGTTTCCTATTTCTTGCATTTTCTAAATCTCAAGGTCACATCAATTTTTTGTTGTTGCCAAATTACAGGATGCAGATTTGATAATGTTGGCTTTGGCTACCCATGAAGTTCATTTTTCTATACTTAGAGAAGTAAGTTCCCTACAACCTTTTGTAACTAGCAGGAAAAGTTGTAATAAGTAGTGAAATTGTTAAGAAAGGCGGTGGATGGTGCATTGCAACAGGAACATTGTAATGCTGTTGATGCTTTTATTTTTTCTAATTGTAATAATAAACTAAACTGTATGCTTACCTGAGCAAATGATAAATTTGTGGTTTATCTTTTGGTACTGCAACCTCTAAGTGAAATTAAACCACAATCTTTTCGAGGTTGATGTTAATGCAAGAAGTTAGTTCCATTGCAATACTGTGGGTGGGACATTATGCTTGTTTAGTTTGATTTGCACATATATGGGTTTTCCATTTATTTCATTGATTTCACCATAAACGTTTTATGAGCCTTTATTTAAACTCTTCTCATTGATACGGTAATTAGATAAGGGAACTCAGTGCAGTGTAACTGCAGTTTTTTGTCAAATGCTAACACAACAAATTTCTTGCTTACTATTTTATATTTCTGTTAAATTTGGTAATTTGAGCCTTAAACACAAGCCTTACTCTTCCATGTATGTTATATTAGCATACACATACCATGATTTTTGTTTTCTAGTTTAATTTAAATTGAAGAGTTGTTGAATTATTAATTTTTCGCTTCAGAATAAACATCCAACATTCCTTTTTCTGCTTTTATGTTTTAGGTTATAACCATTCCAGGACAACAGGATAAGTGTTTCCTTTGCGGTCAAGTGGGTCATATAGCATCATTTTGTGAAGGGAAGGTGAAGAGAAAGGCAATAGAGTTTGATGAGATAGGTGGTGGTGATGAAGTGCCTAAGAATAAATATCAGGTACATTTCAAGCTCAGCCTGCATAGAAGTCTAATGACTTTTATAATGATCCAATTCTTTTAACAATTTCTGTGCTTTGTGTCCTTGATTATATAGTTTTTTTTTAATGTTTTTGCAGTTCCTCAACATTTGGACTCTTAGAGAGTACCTGGAGTATGAAATGAGAATTCCTGATTCTGAGATTGATTTTGAGCGAATAGTTGATGACTTCGTTTTCCTATGTTTCTTTGTTGGAAATGATTTTCTACCACACATGCCTACATTGGAAATTCGTGAGGTATGTTCAGAAATTTTCTTCCTACAACTTTTGTCTTTTCTTGCTACTAAGATGATCAATTTTTCTGCTTGATTTCAAGAAACGTATCATTTGTATCTGTAAATTGGAAATTTTGTAACTTTTAGCTTTTGGTTTTTCAGGGTGCTATTAATTTACTGTTTGCAGTATATAAGAAGGAGTTTAGGGCTATGGGTGGGTATCTGACTAATGCAAGCAAGGTGATTATCTATCCCTTTTTAGCGTTGTGTAGTAATCTCCATCTTCTCTTCAGAGGTTGACTTGATTTTATTAAATGTTGACTTATGAAATACCTGGTTGCTTTAACTTTAGTCACTGCCTTTTTCTTGTTGCAGCCAGATCTTCCCAAAGTAGAGCATTTTATTCAGGCAGTTGGATCATATGAAGACTCTATATTCCAGAAAAGAGCTCGAATGAATCTGGTATAAATTACTACCTTTGACTTATTATTTGTCTTTTCTGGATACCGAACTAATCTCTTAGGTCCTGTTTGGTTGGCGTGGTTGGATTGGACTTAGGGATTTGGAATTGAATTCCATTCCAGTCCCATGTTTGGTTTGAAGGATTTCATGGATTTGAAATCCCCCAAAACATAGGATTTTGAAATCCCCCAAAACATAGGATTTTGAAATCCCCCAAAACATAGGATTTTGAAATCCCCCAAAACATAGGATTTTGAAATCCCATGGGGTTGGTATTTAATGGGATTTCGTAGGATTTGTATGTAATAATGGTTTAAAATATGTTAAAAACATTTGTTTTGTAATAATTAATTAATAAAAGGGTAATTCAATTATTTTTATGATCATTTATAAATAACGGAATTCAATTCCATTCCAAATCCTACAAACCAAACACACCACAGATTCCAAATTCTTCTTAATCGTTCCAAATCCAAATCCCTCAAAACCATTCCATCAAACCAAACGCTGACAGAAAGTAGAAGTGATCATTATGTCCCTCTGTCTGGAATAACTAATAAGCGCTGACTAGAAATTTTTGTTTACCAAATGTTTTATGCCGAAAAAGTGTTGATTACAACTCACAGCATATTGTGAATGGTTGCAGGACTCATCCAAAAACGACCAAGTTTGACAATCTTTTTTTGACTTTGACCATTCAAAAGCAGTTGATTTTAAAATATTTATTTGTACAATTTCAAAATTATAATATTTTTTAAATATAAAACCTATTTGACAAAAAAATTGATGTATTATTTTTCGGATTTTTAAATAAATTTTCAAAGTAATTATACTTTACCATTCGACAAAAAATTGATATATTATTATCAGACTTTTAACTCTGACCCTAATCAGCACGGTCGGTGTAGAAACAACTTATTTGAGTAAGTGATTCTTACCGAGTAAGATGTAATAAGAGGTTAGTAAACAAATCCTATCATGCATTTATCATTTTCTTTGTTCAGAATCTAGCTGAGAAGATCAGACGTGATCAAGCAAGAAGAGGAGATTATTCTCGACCACAAGCATCAGGTCCTTCCCCTTCACCATACAAACAGAAAGGATCACAAACATCTATGAGAAAGGAGTACCAAGTTAGGCATGCTACTAAGGATTTGTCTGCCCTTGACATCCAGAGCAGACAGTCAATGCAATCTGATGATGCACAAGGCAATCTTCGAGCTAAAAAAGTTGCACGTTTGTCTTCTGGGGCTACTGTTGGGGCTGCCATCTTGGAAGCAGAAAGCAGTCTTGAAAGAGAAGTAAGTATTTTGCTCTTCTGCAAATTAAGTTGGTTTATTTTTAAATAATGTGGACCCTTGTTTTCTCCATCTTTCTTCTTTTCATTTGCTAACGTTGGAAACATTGTTTTCATGGAGATAGGGAAGTTTTTGGTTCGTTAGAGTGTGATAGAATGTGGTGGAATGTTATTACAAATTCCATTTGCTGTGTGGATGAAGTGTTTTGATGGAATTGAATTCCTTCAGAATGATGAATTCATTTGAAGGAAGGAATGTCATTTCTTCATGCTATCTATGAAATGAGCAATCCCATCATTTGATTTCCAATGGAACTAATTATTTGATAAAATACCTTTTATTATTTATTTTTCACAATTTATTATCATTATTATTTCCTATTTATCATTGTTTTTGTTTTAATTTGTATTATTATTCTTATTTTTCATTATTATTATTAATACCACCACCACCACCACCACCACCACTACTACTACTACTACTACTACTACTA